AGGTGTTATTCTAGTACACAATAAGCAATCAGATATTTTCAATATCGTATATACCATATACAGGGTTGCCCATATTCGACGGACCCATCTGGCAACGCCATAACTTTTGACAGAGATGTCACATTGCTTAATGACATACCGCGTTTGAAGCGTCAGTCCAAGCAGATTTTTACCGTGAACCAATACACGCCACGCGAGCGCTCTGAAATAGTTGAAATTTACATTCAACAGAAGAAGTCAATTGTGAAAACTCAACGTGCTTTTAAAACATTAAAAAATGTGAGAAGTGCGCCTTCTAAGAACACCATTAAGCGTTTATACGAAAAATTTTCGACTGGTAAGGCTCTTTCTAATCCGAAGAGGCCATATAAAAGTCGACCAAGGCGATCGGTCGAGAATATCGCTGCTGTATGAGCCAGTGTTGAGAGGTCCCCAAGAACATCCCAAAAACGCCGTTCTCAGCAGTTGGGCATGGCTCGGTCCACTTTACAACGGATTATTCGCATTGATTTGCATTTGTTCCCGTACAAAATTCAATTGACGCAAAGAATGTTGCCTGCGGACAAGCCTCGATTGGAATGGGCCATGAGTCATCGAAATGGCCGAAGATGACGAGCAATTTTGGAACAAAATTATCATGTTCGATGAAGCCCATTTCACATTGAATGGGACCGTAAATAAACAAAATTGCCGTTTTTACGCCACTGAAAATCCTCAGGAGATTCAAGAAGTGCCTCTTCATGACGAAAAAAGTCAAAGTTTGGTGCGGCGTTAGTGCGAAAACGGTCATTGGGCCGTTTTTTTCCAAATGAAAATGGCCATGCTGTTACCATCACTCAGGTGCGTTATCGCGACATGATGACCAATTTTCTGATGCCAATTATTCGTCGAAAGCGTATGAGGCAGTTCTGGTTTCAACAAGACGGAGCTCCACCGCACGCAAGTCGCATAACAAACGATTTTCTCAAGAATTTGTTTCCGGGCCGTTTGATGTCGAAAAGTGGTTATTTGGACCGGCAACCGCGTTCGCCCGATTTGACGCCGCCTGACTTCTTCTTGTGGGGATATTTGAAGTCAAAAGTTTACGTTAACAAGCCAAGGACTCTAGAAGAGCTCAAGGACAACATTCGTAAAGAAATAGCCGCTATTCCGGCCGAAATGTTGGCAAAAACGATGGAAAATGCAGCAAAAAGGGCACAATACGTCATCAACGCCAGATGCGGCCATTTGAGAGATATCATATTCAAAAATTGATGTAAACAAATCTACTTGGAACAAATTAAATGATTAACATTGCCAACCGCCAATTTTTTATTTTTTTTATTTAAAAAAAAGCATGGGTCCGTCGAATATGGGCAACCCTGTATATAAAATGCATATAATATAAGTTGAATATAGAATAAAACCAAGGCATATAAAAGGATTTTTGTACGATTTTTGTTTTTTGGCCTTTGAAAAAATTATTTTTAAAATATCCATAATTCAGCAAGCACCGAAAAATTATTTTAAAATTCCATGCTTCTGTGAGTCGCTGAAAACTGTATTTTGAAAATTGCATAACTGGAAGTTCTCCAAATATTAGGTAATCAAAAAAAGAAAAAAATCTAATGTTAATATAGGTCAAGGTTAGGTTCGAAAACAGATAACTATCGTTGACAAAATATTTATCAAAGAAAGTAAGAATTTTTGTTTTCTTCCACCGAAAAAAATTCAAAATATTATCTAATATCTAACCAAAGAACCAAACACCTTCAACTCCCACTAAAGGCAAACAAACGAAGTCAGCAGAGGCGCCATGAAAATAAAGCCAAAAAATAACGTAAACAAGTTCAGTAGCTATTTTATATAATCTTTTGGACAAATAACAGTTGGGGAAATGGAAGTCAGTAACTAAATAGATTTCGAAACCACTAAAAAATATTCCACTCCACATCATAGCAAAATATGTCAGATAGTTAAACACATTGGCTGTTATTTGTTTTAAATTCCAATGGAAATGGTAATAATTTCCAAAACCATTTGCGCTACTACGATTTAGAAATCATTTAGCAAATTGGTATGTCCTTTCAAGGCCATTACTTCTTCTCCACTACCAAAGGATATATTTATTTTGATTTTTTGTTATTTTTTCTTGGGCCTTGGGTGGGTGCTGCCATTAAATGTTAAAAGGCAAGGCCGTATATATTTTTTGGCTAATTCTATATAATTTGCGTTGTTTCTGTTTTCTTTATGGCCTTGATACATGAAAACTATTTTACAAAAATGGCCCAAGAAAGACATGGAACTGGTTATTGACTTTTTGTCGTTTTTTTTTGTTGTTGTTATTTTGATAATAAAAGGTCAGTGTTAGATGGTAAACACCAAGTTAACATCTCACTCACCTCTGGCCTATGGGAGTTGAATAATAGAACAGGCACATTAGGAACAATAAAATTGTGTAATGACCTAGTTACGTGATCTGATTAGGATGTGATAGAAGACGAAGGAAAAGAAATATTCTTTAAAAAATTCGTACACGAAAAAGAAGTCTTTGAAAAAATATTGTTTTTATTTTTAGGCCCTGTGTAATCTTTGAAAAAGTATTTTTTTTTTAAATTTACACCTTGGCTAGGCCCTGAAAAACTATATATTTTTAAAAAATCTACGCCTATGTTAGTTCCTGAAAAATAATATTTTTTGTGTAGGACCTAAAAAATATTTTCTAAAATATCTATGGCCTTGGAGAGGCCCTACAAAATATTTTCTAAAATATCTACGCTTTGGAGCGGCCCTACAAAATATTTTCTAAAATATCTACGCCTTGGTGAGGCCCTACAAAATATTCTTTTAAAAAATCTACGCTTTGGAGCGGCCCTACAAAATATTTTCTAAAATATCTACGCCTTGGAGAGGCCCTACAAAATATTTTCTAAAATATCTACGCTTTGGAGCGGCCCTACAAAATATTTTCTAAAATATCTACGCCTTGGAGAGGCCCTACAAAATATTTTCTAAAATATCTACGCCTTGGTGAGGCCCTATAAAATATTCTTTTAAAAAATCTACGCCTAGAGTAGGTCCGGACAAAATATTTTTTAAAAAATCTACGCCTTGGGTAGGCCTTGTATTTTTTTAATCTACGCCTATGATTAGTTACATGCTGTTAATATGTTAACAGAGCTTGTACATAGTTAACAGAGGCTGTTAATATATTAACAAAGGCTGTTATACGTTAACAGAGGCTGCTAACATGCTAACAGAGGCTGTTAATATATTAACAGTGGATGTTAATATGTTAACAGAGACTGTTAATATATTAACAGACGTTGTTAAAACATTAACAGAGGCTGTTAATACATTAACAGAGGCTGTTAATACATTAACAGAGGCTGTTAATACTTTGACAGAGGCTGTTAATACATTAACAGAGGCTGTTAATACAATAACAGAGGTTGCTAATATGTTAACAGTGGCTGTTAAAATGTTAACAAAGGCTGTTATTATTTAACAGTGGCTGTTAATATGTTAACAGTGGCTGTTAATATGTTAACAATAGCTGTTAATATGTTAACAGTTGCCGTTAATAGGTTAACAATGGCTGGAAATATGTTAACAGAAGCTATTAATATGTTAAGAAAGGCTACTAATATGTTAACAGAGGCTTGTAATATGTTTACAGAGGCTTGTAATATGTTAACAGAGGCTGTTAATATATTAATATGGGCTTTTAATATGTTAATAGGGGCTGTTAATATGTTAACAGAGACTATTAATACATTAACAGAGGCTGTTAATACATTAACAGAGGCTGTTAATACATTAACAGAGGCTGTTAATACATTAACAGAGGCTGTTAATACATTAACAGAGGCTGTTAATACATTAACAGAGGCTGTTAATACATTAACAGAGGCTGTTAATACATTAACAGAGGCTGTTAATACATTAACAGAGACTGTTAATACATTAACAGAGGCTGTTAATACATTAACAGAGGCTGTTAATACATTAACAGACGCTATTAATACATTAACAGAGGCTGTTAATACATTAACAGAGGCTGTTAATACATTAACAGAGGCTGTTAATACATTACAGAGGCTGTTAATGCATTAGCAGTGGCTGCTTATAAATTACAGAGGCTGTTATCACAATTACAGAGGCTGTTAATACTTTAACAGAGGCTGTTAATACATTAACAGAGGCTGTTAATAAATTAACAGAGGCTATTAATACATTAACAGAGGCTGTTAATACACTAACAGAGGCTGTTAATACATTAACAGAGACTGTTAATACATTAACAGAGGCTGTTAATACATTAACAGAGGCTGTTAATACATTAACAGACGCTATTAATACATTAACAGAGGCTGTTAATACAATAACAGAGGCTGTTAATACATTAACAGAGGCTGTTAATACATTAACAGAGGCTGCTAATATGTTAATATATTAACAGTGGATGTTAAAATGTTAGCAGAGGCTGTTAATGGCCTTGGGTAGGCCTTGTTATTTTTTAAATTTACGCCTATGATTAGTTACATGCTGTTAATATGTTAACAGAGCCTGTAAATAGTTAACAGAGGCTGTTAATATGTTAACAGAGGCTGTTAATACATTAAAAGAGGCTGTTAATATGTTAACAGAGGCTGTTAATATGTTAACAGAGGCTGTTAATATGTTAACAGAGGCTGTTAATATGTTAACAGAGGCTGTTAATATGTTAACAGAGGCTGTTAATACATTAAAAGAGGCTGTTAATACATTAACAGAGGTAGTTAATACATTAACAGAGGCTAAAAAAAAGCGGCTGTTAATATGTTAACAGTAGCTGGTAATAAGCTAACAGGGGCTTTTAACAGTGGCAGTTATGTTAACAGTGGATGTTAATATGCTAACAGTGGATGTTAAAATGTTAGCAGATGCTGTTAATGGAAAAAATCATAAATAATGTTTTTTATTTCATCCTTATCTAATCTCTGTATTTTCCCCCTCTCTCTCTCTCTCTTTCTTTCCAGGTTTCCATATGACACCAAAATTACATCTGATCTTTCCTGAATCCTGTCTGCTGATTGTTGTCGGTGTTGTCATTGGTGTTGTGCTCTTCTTTTGTACCGATGTAGCCGTCTCACCTCTAACACCCAACACCTTCTTCTTCTATATGTTGCCACCGATTATATTGGATGCGGGTTATTTTATGCCGAATCGATTATTTTTCGATAATTTGGGTACAATTCTGTTGATGGCTGTGGTCGGTACCATTTTCAATATTGCCACCATTGGTAAGTAAATAAAAGTTAAGAGTCTTTTTAATTGGAAAATATGAGACCCTGAAACGCATTCTCAATGCCCTCCAAAAAGGGAACAGATGAGAAGGGGGATTCGAAAGAAAATTAAAACAATTTCAACAATTAAAAAAAAGTAATAATTGAAATGAATGCTGATGACGACAGCGGAGACGACACAACGACTATGTGGAAGATATGAGGGAGTGGAAATTAAAATCTATTTTTATGTTCATTTGTTTTGACTTCTGTATGGAATCTATATTCCCCCTTATGCTCTTCATACTATGTACCCTTTGCTCCGATCCACTCTTCAGCGATAAGTAATGTTCTTGATAATGAATTGAATTTCTTTGTAAATAAAAATATTTTTTTTTCGACTTTATTGTTGCTGGTGTCACCCAACATTCAGACACCAGCCATTAGAAATGAACAGCAACATCGAGTCATCTTCATTCTGATGGTGGCTACTTGGTCGCCACCACCCATATCAATATCCTTTCGTCGTCGTCGTCGTTTTGCTCGTCATTTGTCTTCAAATACTTGAAAAACAATTTCAATTAATTTGACATTTGATCTGATGATGAATTTGTTGCTGTTGTCGCATTTCATTTGTTTATTGTTATGGCAAAAAAATTTTAAATTTCAATTTCAATAGTTGAAAACAATACAATGCCAATGTGCGGGAGCTCCTCCTCTCCTTTTTCAATTACATCAACAAAATACTTAATTTAAAACCACATCCATTTTTTCGAATAAATGAATTTGTTTTGTTGACAACAATATTTTGTTGTTTAGAGATTTTTGGCTATAGAATTTCATATTGTGTTTAGTCAAATTTTCAAATAATAATTATAATTGATTATAATGAGATTGAGTTAAAATGCCTGTGAGATCAAATAACCCACAGAGAGACTGTTTCAGTATTGACAGGGGCTGTTTAAATGATAACAGAGGCTGATAATATGTTAACAGGGGGAGATAATATGTTAACAGAGGCTGTAAAGGTGTTAACAGAGGCTGTCAAGATGTTAACAGAGGCTACTAAGATGTTGACATAGGTTGCATAAATATTCACAATATTAACAGTGGCTTTTATATGTTAACAGAGGCTGTTAATATGTTAACAGTATTAAAAGCTGCTGTTATTTGTTACCAATGTCTCTAATTATGTTCACAGAGGCTGTTAATGTTAACAGAAATGTGAAAAGTTAACAGAGACTTTTTATATATCAACATAGGCTGTTGCAGAGGCTGCGAATATGTTAACATTGGTTGTTAATATGTTAATATGCTACCAGAGGCCGTTAATTTGTTAACATAGGCTTTTAAAATGTTAACAGAGGTTGTTAATATCTTAAAAGATTCGGTTAATATGTTGACAGAGACTGTTAACATATTAAAAGAGTCTGTTTCTATGTTAACATATGCTGTTAATATTTTAACAGAGGCTGTTAATTCGTTAACGGAGACTGTTAATATGTTAACAGAGGCTGTTAATATATTAACAGAGGCCGTTAATATGTTAAAAGAGACTGTTAATATGCTAAGAGAGGCTGTTAATATGTTAACAGAGACTGTTATTATTTTAACAGATGCTTTTAATATGTTAACAGAGGCCGTTAATATGTTAACAGAGACCGTTAATATGTTAACAGAGACCGTTAATATTTTAAAAGAGGTTGTTGATATGTTAACAGAGACTGTCAATATATTAACAGAGGATGTCAATATGGTAACAGAGACTTTTAATATGTTAACAGAGACTGTTAATATGTTAACAGAGGCTGTTAATATGTTAACAGAGGCTGTTAATATGTTAACAGAGGTTGTTAATATGTTAACAGAGGCTGTTAATATGTTAACAGAGGCTGTTAATATGTTAACAGAGGCTGTTAATATGTTAACAGAGGCTGTTAATATGTTAACCGAAACTGTTAATATGTTAACAGTAGCTGTTAATATGTTAACAGTAGCTGTTAATATGTTAACAGAGACTGTTAATATGTTAGCAGAGAGTGCTAATATGTTAACAGTGGCTGTTAATATGTTAACAGAGCCTAAAATGGTAATGTATAAAAAAAGGTTTTAAATATATTAACAGAGGCTGTTAATATGCTAACAGTGGCTGTTAAATTATTTGTAGTAATTATAAATTCCCTAAAGAGGTCCGTTCAAAATTTCCTATCAGAAAGTCCTCTGCTTGTCTATACAGTGTCTATACTTGGGACTCCCTTCAACTCGGCCATAGAAAGTCCCTAGAGACTCGTCTTAGCTGGTCTATAAGAAGTTCTTCGACTTCAACTACAAAGGCTCCCGTGGGCTATAAAGCTCCCCTAGGCCTCCTATTAATGGCCCTTTCACCTCGTCGATAATTACTCCCTTCAGTTCGCTTATAACGGCTACCTTCAGCTCGCCTATTGGGACTCCTTTCAGGTCGTCTATAGAAAATGCCTTTAGCTCGCGTAAAAAGGCTCCCTCCAGATTATCATAGGGACTTTTTACAATCGGGACTCCTTTTCGCTCGTCTATAAAGATTTTAATTCATTTACTGAGACTCTCCTAAGCTCGCATATAACGGTTCCTTTCAGCTCGCCTATAAATGATACTTTCAGCTCGGCTATAAAGTCTCCCTGTAGCTCTCCTATAAAGGCTTCCTTCAGTTGGTATATAAAGGCTCTCTTCAGCTTTCTTACAAAGGCACCCATCTGGTCGCCTATAACGGCTTTCTCCCATCGGTGAGCTGAAGGGAGTCTTTATAGGCCCCTTCAGCCCGCCTATAAAGACTCCCTTCAGACTTCATAGCCGAGCTTAAGGCAGCTTGAAGGGAGATTTTATAGGAGAGCCTGAAGTGATCCTTTATAGGCGAGCTGAAGTCAGTCTGAAGAAAGCCTTTATAGGCAAGTAGAAGGAAATCCTTATTGGCCAGCTGAAGGGAGTTTTAATAGGCGATCTGAAGGACTTCATATAGACGAACGAAGCTAGACGAAATTATCCCTGTTCACCTATATTACAAAGGTACCCCAGGTACCCCTATAACGGCTTTCTCCCTTCATGTTTCCTATGTAGTCTGCCTTCTGCTCGCCTCCTCTGCAGATTTCCCCTTTTTCTCATGCTATGAATGCTTTCATTCATTAATCCGCAATCGATTTTATGCCCTGATAGAAAAAACTCCATTCTAAATGCAACAAATGTGACCTTGCTTGCTTGGTTGCCTGCCACAACCAGACTTCGATTATTGGTATATTAATGACTGTCGTTAAGACTGTCATAATTCGTTAGAAAAAAAAACAAACAAATAAAATAAATAATGCCTTTTATTTATTTGGCCATAACTTTCTATGATTCGATTTTTTTTATTATATTTGTCATGTTATTTTTTCGAAATTATTGACCTAATTCCTCTATCCATAGGCTAAGTGTAATATTTACACTGTCAATCAAAAAAATTTTGAGTAAATATTAAATTATTTTCCTAGGCCTGTTAATTACGATATTTTCGTGTTGAGTTTGGTTTTTTTAAAAAGGTCGTCGCTTAAATTCTGACAATTAATAACTGTGATTTTTTTTGCTCAGGGGGAGGGGGAAACATTTCCCCACTTGTAGTTTTTTTTGAGAGAGGTTGAAGAGGGGGGATTCATATGTTTGTGCGTACATAAAGATGTAATCAATCATTCGATTGGTTCGTTTGTTTGTCTATCTGTCAGACGACGGCATTCAATGTCATCGCATATCGTATCTTGCTACTAAATGTCAAGTGTATCGCGTTGTTGTTGTTGTCGATGTGCTCGAGAAGTTGGGTTCTCAGATGCGTAAAATAAACATGCCTTCTACACTTGAGTCATTATGACATTCGGCATGCCGCCATGCATGCCATGATGATATCGATCATAAAACTCAAGAACAAGTTTTAAAAATTAAACAGCAAATATGAAAGTCGAACCGACTATTGGTTGCTAGGTGAAGTATGAGTTGGACTACTTCAAAACTTCTAGATGAAGGGAATCTTTATACAGAAGCTGAAGGAGGCCTATATGGGCGAGATAAAAAAGCTGTTTGTTTTTTTTGTAGGCCAGCTGAAGGCAGCCTGAAGGGAGCCTTTATATGCGAGCTGAAGGGAGCTTTTATAGGCCAGTTGATGGTAGCCTGAAGGGAGCCTTTATAACTGAGCTGAAGCCTGATGGGAGCCTTTATAGGCGAGCTGAAGGCAGCCTGATGGGAGCCTTTATAGGCGAGCTGAAGGCAGCCTGATGGGAGCCTTTATAGGCGAGCTGAAGGCAGCCTGATGGGAGCCTTTATAGGCGAGCTGAAGGCAGCCTGATGGGAGCCTTTATAGGCGAGCTGAAGACAGCCTGATGGGAGCCTTTATAGGCGAGCTGAAGGCAGCCTTTATAGGCGAGCCGTTATAGGCTAGCTGAAGGGAGCCTGATGGGAGCATTTATAGGCGAGCTGAATGCAGCCTGATGGGAGCCTTTATAGGCTGAAGCTGAAGGGGAGCTTTTATAGGCGAGCTGACGGCAGCCTGATGGGAGCCTTTATAGGCGAGCTGAAGGCAGCCTGATGGGAGCCTTTATAGGCGAGCTGAAAACAGCCTGATGGGAGCCTTTATAGGCTAGCTGAAAACAGCCTGATGGGAGCCTTTATAGGCTAGCTGAAAACAGCCTGATGGGAGCCTTATAGGC